TTTCTCGCTTATTTCTCCATATGTAAGTTCGAGATTAATTTATATAATGAACTTACAAGGGGAGTTCGAGGTTGACTATTCACCGATTTTGATCTCCTTTGGTGTGTTGAATCTATATAAAAAAAAAAGTTGATCCGTGTTCGAGCTTTTCGTCCAATGCGCCTTCTAAAAAAAAAAAAATTTTTTCCTTGCATTTGGAGAAATTACCAGGTTTGTTATCAGGCTTAAAGAAAGATACACTTTCGATCTGTGCCGCTAGTCCAGTGGTAAAGCGCAAAAATAGTAATCCCGGGATCCCGCGTTTAGGACTTTGGGCTGCCATAATGTTTTTTTATTTTTTTTAATATTTTTTTATTATTTTATAACATGTATTATTTATTATGATAAATAAATATTTGGCATACTAATAATGTTAGAATAGAATGTATATTCTAACATTATTAGTATGCCGAATATTTATTTATTACAATAAATAATACATATTATATAAATATAAGTATATACAATAATAAAAAAATATAAAAAATTAAAAAAATTATGACAGCTCAAAGTCCTGAACCCGGGATTACTATTTTTGTGTTCTGCCACTGGACTAGCGGCACCGATCAAAAGCGTATCTTTCTTTAAGCCTGATAACAAACCTGGTAATTTCTCTAAATGCAAGGAAAAAAATTTTTTTTTTTTAGAAGGCGCATTGGACGAAAAGCTCGAACACTCAATTTTTTTTCGATATAGATTCACCACACCAAAGGAGATCAAAATCGGTGAAGAGTCAACCGCGACCTCCCTTTGTAAGCGAATAAACAGATAGAAAGCGGTAGGTCGGACTCGGTGGGCATGCCGGACGGCTTATTTGTTATATGTTGCTGAGTCTCAAACGTATCATCTTACTTTTCTGCGCCGCTATATTGCTCACTGTTCGCTGCATGACGCCGCCTCTCGATCAGATAATGCTTCTTTCCGCTTATTTGCTTAGATATTTTAATAAATAACTCAATAATTATTGCAAATATTGCAAAATGATACAGGACGTTTCTATTCAGTTTAACATGCTTTATCTGCCCATGAAAGGTGGGTCGCGAATTATTGAACACTATGTATAACATTTTTCATTAATATAATGCAAATTAACTAATAAAATTTTCAAAATAGTGTATGTTTAAGGTATAAATACTAATGAATGTGTATGTGTAAAGTGTAAATGCTAATAAACTATAAATATTAATAAGCTTAAAAATCTTGACTTTTGTATTTATCAAAATAGAATATGCAAAATAAAATAGATTATTCATTCAATTTAAATTAACATATTGCATGCGGTATCGAAGTTTAACGGATATTATGAGAATTTTGAATTTAAATAGGTCAAAATAGATATAATGCGACACAAATATTTTAATGCTGCAAAGCAACTTCTATTGCATTGCAAGAAAATGTACTTAAATAAATGTAGAATTTACATAAATCAAAGTTTAACGGATATTATGAAAATTTTGAATTTAAATAGGTCAAAATAGATATAATGCGACACAAATATTTTTATGCTGCAAAGCAGCTTCTATTGTATTGCAAGAAAATGTATTTAAATAAATGTAAGACTACTTCTATAAAAAAACTTACTTTTTTAAAAAAAGGTAAAAAAGAGCCAAGTAAAAATATTATATAAAAAAAACAATGTTATTTTTTAATTACTAAGAAATTGTCCCACAAAAAATTGTTCTACAAAATTTAGTTATATAAATTCTACAAATTATATATATTCTACAAAAGAATTATGACATCAAAAAACTGCGCCAAATAAATAAAAATTAAAGTATATAAACAAAGTTTTATTATTTTAAATATTTAAAAAAGCTACTCAGCCATATATTTTGTATTACTTTTGCAAATTCTAATTTTGCAGATCTGATCTGAAAAATTTATCACAAAGTCACCTATGTATTTTTATGTATGATGTTATCATCTATATAGTCAAAACGATTTAGATCTTGTATTAAAAATTGATGTCATTTTAATGTCTCGACCCGGGCTAAATTTTTCGTCCTTTTAATCCTTTCAATGTCAGGTCGTTTTGACTATGCATCCTTCAAAATACAAAAGTGATTCTATATATCAAATCAAATAATAATTTGCAAAATTGATACAAGTTTATATTTGGCTGACAAGGAACGTTCGGTAAGTTGAAAATTTTAAAAATCTGAAACTCAGCACAATTTTAGAGGGTAATAAGTCTAATAACGAAATCATTTTTGTTATAGTGCTAAAAATGGGTTTAGGGGTGCAACCAATCGTCAGAAAATCTGTTTTTACATTCCGAAGCGAATATTGTCGAGACGAATAGAAATATAAAAGATTTTAATGTTACACTAAAGTTTGGATTCAAATGTACTTTACAATGGCGTATTTGGATTTTTTTTAAATAATACAATTTTTCAAACTACCCTTTTCCCACTCAATATTTTTTTATATTTTGAGAAAATTTTTAAATTATATATATTTTAAAGCTTATGTATTACGCCAAATTTAACTATATATGTATAAATATAATAAAGTTATGTTGCGGAAATTAGTTCTTGAGAAATAAAATCAAGACGAAATACCAAAGAAAAAAAGTCTGTTACTGCTTGATTCATGGACATTATTTGGAACAATTAAAAGAATTTATTCCGGCAAACAAAGAAGTAAATATATATAATGCAAAATAAAATTTGGCTTGTGTAAAATTAAAATAAGTTATAAATTAAAAGGCCAACTTAACGAGCTAATTAATTAGGTGTTAACAATTTATTCTACGTCATAAAAATAATACAAATGATAATTAGTAAACGTTTCAACTGTACGACAGTCTTTATCAATACAAATATCGCTTTGCTAACATATCCATAAATTAAATAATTTGGAAAGACAGAACTTATCATACATGTAAAATATATAGACTTATAATATGAAAAAACGCAGTAGAACACATTATGTTTGCGCGTACGTGTGAAGGAGAGCGCGTATTTGAAGGCCGAAAAGAATTGATCACCCTTTAAAAAATAACACAGAGTTTACTTTAACACAGTTTAGACGATACTGTAATTTTACAAAAGTTCCAGTAGATAAGCCGAGATCGATTTCAAAGTGTGTGTGCGGTTAATAATTGCGGTAATTTCTAAGCGGTTTGACAGCGGTTTGTACGTACTAAGATTCGAGAGACTAGCCCCGCAATTTTGGTGGGCGCTTCTTTTATCGGTGCGGTACTGAAGCCCCACTAATTTTTGCTTCACCAATTAATTTCGTTTGTTTAAAAATGTTCGAAGGTGACGCGAGGGCGCCTGTCTTTATTGGCCGCCCCGTAATTTGCGCGAAACAAGCACGCACCTGACATGCGCGAAACGCTCGATAGCGGGATCGATTGGCTTTCGGAAGCCACGTGATCGAACGGCGCATGTCTATTACATCGATAATCAATGCGGTAATCGTTGCTTTCGGTTGAGCAATGTTGTTATTATTGACAGCTTGTTAGGATAATCCTGATTTATCGCCTACTTGTTTATATCGGGCGAGCCCTTTTTTCCGCGGTTTTTTTTTCGCATATTCATGTAAGAAAATATCGATTTTTAGACTGAAATTATAGACTTAAACAATTATTAATTTTCTTCTCAATTTTGAACATCCCGCCCGCCTTGTCACCCGCTGACAATAAGTTGCTATAAATTCTCGATAGCGATTGATAGTGGGGTAGGCGCGCGCCGGCGCGGCGAGATACACGTGATTATCGCGTGGAATGTCGCTCGATCAGCTGAAACGATGAACACGTGTTGACAGCGTGGTGCGATCAGCTGAGAATAGTGAAACGCGTTTTCGATGTGAAATAATGTGCGTGAATGTAAAAAGTGGTTACAGTGCGTATGTGATGTGTAATCAAGTGCATAGCGAATGAACGTGAGCAAAGATGTGTGAGTGATGTGACGCGTCGTGCATTTCTGTCTATGCGTTGCGTGTCGTTACGTCCGTTGCGAAGTCGGGAAGTAAGACAATTTTTACGAGCGGACGCACGAGCTCGGAGGTCGCGGTTCGAACGGTGACCACGCGTACGATCCCGTCGTCGCCGGGATGCAGTTTTGTGATCCGGGCGAGAGGCCACCGGTTTGGAGGCGAAATCTCGGAGCGCACAAGGCAGAGTGCTCCGATGCGAAGTGTTGTCTCGACCTTCAGCCATTTAGGTCGTGAGGTGAGTCCATGGATGTATTCTCCCGACCATCTCCGCCAAAAGTGGTCGCGCATCGCCTGGAGATGATGCCATCGTGATGCTGCGGATCCACGGTTGTCCTCCCTGGCTCCGGGATGGCGAGAAGCGGCGCGCCGATCAGGAAGTGGCCCGGAGTTAGTGCTGTAACATCGTCTGGATCGTCAGAGAGTGCCTGTAATGGACGAGAATTTAAACAGGCCTCAATTTGTGTGAGGAGTGTGGTCAGTTCCTCAAAGGTGAGGGTGGTTTCACCTAGCACCCTCCGTAAGTGATACTTAGCGGATTTGACGGCTGCCTCCCACAATCCGCCGAAGTGCGGAGCTGCTGGTGGATTGAAGTGCCACCGTATGCCGTGTTCAGCAGCTACGCGTGCAATTCCACGACCCTCTGTGGATGCAGTGACGAAGAGCTCACGTAAAGTGCGGTCAGCCCCGATGAAGATCGTTCCACAGTCGCTATATATGTCCGTACAGAGACCTCGACGTGAGACAAAGCGACGTAAAGCGGCGATGAAGGCCTCTGAAGAGTAATCCGAGACAAGTTCGAGGTGGATGGCTCTGGACCAAAAACAGATGAATACTGCGATATAGCCCTTATAGGCGCGGTGTCCTCGTCCCTTGCTCGTCCGGATGAGGATGGGTCCTGCATAGTCCACTCCAGTGCGCAGAAATGGTCGAGTCGGAGTGACCCGATCGCGGGGTAGATTACCCATCGGTGGCTGAAGCGTCGTTGCTCGCCATTTTGTGCTGGTGACGCAACGATGTAGTTATTGTTTTACGACTGTGCGTCCTCGTGGAATCCAGAAGCGCAGTCGAAGCAGCCCCAGGGTGAGTTGCACTCCTCCATGCAGCGTCCGACGGTGACAGGATTCCACCAGCAGACGAGTCAGCCACGACGAGGTTGGAATGATCATCGGATGCCTCTCATCCTGTGTCAGCAGGGCGTTCTTAAGCCGACCTCCCACTCTCAGAACACCATGGTCGTCGAGGAACGGAGTCAGCTTGGCTAATGTGCTGCTTGGTGCGACGGAGCGTCCAGCTGCGACTGCGGTGATCTCGTCCGTGAAGTGCAGTGTCTGCACTTCTCGAAGCCAACGAAAGAGTGTCATGTCAAGTTCCTCCGGACTCAACGTTAATCCAGCAGTGTGAGTCGGCTCGGAAGCGCGCAGCCAGCGACGGCACCATGCGGATATCCGTAGCAGGCGATGCAGTGATGAGAAGCGGAGCAGGATTTCTGGCTCGATGATGACCCGGTTCACAGTCATCAGGCTCGTGGCTTTCCTTTCTGGCACGTCGTCTCCTCGGATCTCCATCTCGGAGTTTGGCCAGGCCGATTCGTTCTGTGATAACCAGGTAGGTCCTGTCCACCATAGAGCGTGATTGATCAGTTCGCTTGGATTAATACCCCTTGATGCACAGTCCGCAGGGTTGTCGTGACCAGCTACGTGTCTCCATTGTGCATTAGGCAGCTGCGTCTGGATGTGAGCGACTCGATTGGCGACAAAAGTCTTCCAGCGTGAGGAGTGACCGCGAATCCACTGGAGGGTCACTGTTGAATCAGACCATAAGTATGTGTCTGATGTTGCCAGGTCGAGCGTTTGTTTGACATGTCGCATCAAATTGGTGAGTAGCGTGGCGGCGCACAACTCCAGCCTCGGCAAGGTCACTTGTTTGACCGGTGCTACCTTGCTTTTGGCCATCAATAACCTTATTGACGTTTCGTTCCTTTCAGTGATGCGGATGTATACTGCGGCGGCATATCCTTGTTCGGATGCGTCGGCGAAGCCATGAAGCTGCAGCGTGGTCTTATCTGCTCCGGTCCCGAGCCAGCGTTTTATTCGCAACTGATCTAGAAGATGGAGTTCTTCTAGAAGACGTTGCCACTCTCAAGCTTCGGATGGCGGCAGCGGGGTGTCCCAGTCCAATCCTTGCAGCCACGTGGATTGGATGAGAATTTTTGCTCGAATCACGACTGGAGCGAGCCACCCTATTGGATCGAAGAGCCGTGCGGTTTCGGATAAAACCGTTCTCTTCGTGTGATTGATGGCAGCGTGCGGATGAAACACGAAGGAGAACTGGTCGTGTTGCGGGTGCCAGCGGAGTCCTAGCGTGGCGTGGCTCTCTTCTTCCCAGGCTGGCGGTAATTGCTGCAAAAGATGATTGCTTGGTACTCCAGTCAGGATCCTCTCGTCGTTGGCTGCCCATTTCTTCAACGGAAATCCGCCCGCCAAGCAGAGGTTGCGAATTTCTGTCTGGAGTGCGATCGCATCGTTCAGCGTATTTAAGCCGGTGACCACATCGTCGACGTAACAGTCTCGACGCAGAGCCACGGCGCCACGAGGAAACTGCTTTTCTTCGTCTGTTGCGAGCTGACGGAGTGTCCGTATGGCGAGAAACGGAGCACACGCCAGACCGTAGGTGACCGTTCTCAGCTGGTACTCTCGCACTTTATCATCAGTTGAATGACGCCACAGGATCGTTTGAAATTTGCAGTCATCCGGATGCACGAGTATTTGCCGATACATTTTTTCTATATCATCAACGAAGACATACTGGTGTTGACGCCATCGAAGGAGTACGTCAGGAAGAGCTGGCAGAAGATTTGCTCCAATCATGAGATGTGCATTTAATGAGTCTCCTGTTCGCGTTCGCTGCGCGTTCACTGGATGTGATGTTAGGAGCGCCCATCTTCTTCAGGTATTCGACAGAGCGTGAGATTTGAACTTGGATCTCACGCTGACTATCTAATAATATAGCGGCATCCATGATGTGACACTCACTGTATTTATTTTTCAGGCACTTCACTCTCGTCTTCAAGAACGTTCACACGCATGCCGGCGCGACGAACTGATAATCCGGCTCAAAGGACCAAAAATATGTTTGCGCGTACGCATGAAGGAGAGCGCGTATTTAAAGGCCAAAAAGAATTGATCACTCTTTAAAAAATAACACAGAGTTTACTTTAACACAGTTTAGCCGATACAGTAATTTTACAAAAGTTCCAGTAGATAAGCCGAGATCGATTTCAAAGTGTGTTAGCGGTTAATAATTGCGGTAATTTCTAAGCGGTTTGACAGCGGTTTGTACGTACTAAGATTCGAGAGACTAGCCCCGCAATTTTGGTGGGCGCTTCTTTTATCGGTGCGGTACTGAAGCCCCACTAATTTTTGCTTCACCAATTAATTTCGTTTGTTTAAAAATGTTCGAAGGTGACGCGAGGGCGCCTGTCTTTATTGGCCGCCCCGTAATTTGCGCAAAACAAGCACGCACCTGACATGCGCGAAACGCTCGATAGCGGGATCGATTGGCTTTCGGAAGCCACGTGATCGAACGGCGCATGTCTATTACATCGATAATCAATGCGGTAATCGTTGCTTTCGGTTGAGCAATGTTGTTATTATTGACAGCTTGTTAGGATAATCCTGATTTATCGCCTACTTGTTTATATCGAACGAGCCCTTTTTTCCGCGGTTTTTTTTTGCATATTCGTGTAAGAAAATATCGATTTTTAGACTGAAATTATAGACTTAAACAATTATTAATTTTCTTCTCAATTTTGAACACATTATAATTGTTGGCTTCAATTACGGCTGATCATTCGAATTAGTCGTTAAAGAGCCTAATCCCGAACATCAAATTTCTGTAGTTCTTTTTAAATAAACGTCTAATTTTGTAATCCATGATGTAATAATGATATGTAATAAGCTGTAAAATAATTAATGTGTTAGCCTGAATATTGAATATTTGATTTTTAAATAAGTAGTGATCACTTAATCTATGTCGAGACGATAAAAATTCTTTAAAATATTTCTTGTTGAAAAACATTATAAACAATGTATACTTTATAAGAAGCAAACTCAATATCTGTAAATTACAATGTCAGAACGCTGTATATATAGTACCGCCATGCTAAGATGACATTTTTTTTAAAACATCAAAATAAGAACCGTCAAGTCGCTCGGTGTCCTTTTTTAAGTTGATACTGTTTTTTTTCTTCTTTAATGTATATATCATTTCCGATATCAACCTTTTATAATAATTCCTTTCGTGATCCAAGATTTTTGTGTTGTTCTAATTAAAAGTATGTGTAAACTTTACAATATGATCAGAAATCACCGAGTGTCTTGCAGAATCCAATCTGATATTATTTTTATGTTCATTTACTCTTGTGCCTAATTGTCTTTTAGTTTGCCCTACATATGTAGCATCACAATTATTGCATTTTTATATATGACACCCGAATTATTCTGACAATTATCTCTGTCTTTTTGTGTTTTTATGACTCTATTTAATTTTTTCAAACTTCTGTATTTTACTGTTATATTAGATTTCTTTAACTCTGATGCTACTAATTCCGAGATTCTTTCAATGTATGGTATCGCTATAAATTTTTTATTGTTGTCATTATTTATGTCATTGTTATTCGTATTATGAGTCATTTCGGTGTTTAATCTATTAACTATGAGAAACTTCAGTCTTCTATTAATTTCTAAGAAAATGAGATCGAGAGGATAACTATTACTTAATAAAATCTCTATAATTAATGTTAAATTTTTACTGTGAAAAATAGAATGTGATAATAGTAATGATCGGTTGACTAGATTATATATGACACTTTTTTTATGATACATAGGATGATTTGAATAATATGAAAGTGTTCTACCCGAAAATGTTTTTTTCTGAAACCAATCAATGTGAATTATGTTATTTATAATTTTGAGTGAAATGTTTCAAAAAACTTATGCAACGGTTGTCCTCTCGTTCTATTGTAAATTTTAGTCTATCGTGATAATCATTAAATTTTTCAACTAAATATGAGACCTGATCCTCCGGCATGCAAACTAAAATGTCATAGCGATAGTAAAATCTTACATTTGCATTAATTGTATCAAGTATCGTAGTTTTTAAATCTTGCATAACAATATCTGCTATGATTGGAGATCCCATAGGGGTTCCATGAATTTGTTTATAAATAGTATTATTAAATGTAAAGAAAGTTGAAGTTAAAATAAATATAATAGCATTAACAAATTCATTTTTGCCAATTAATGTGTGGTTTTCAATATAATGCCACCTGTTATTTATACTGTCTATTGCAAGGTCCAGAGGTACATTCGTGAACAACGATATTACATCCAATGATACAATTATTTCATTGTTGTTTAATTTAAGATTAGATAATGTGTTACATAATTCAAAACTATTATTTACATGACTATTCGCTTTAGGTAAACTTATCATTAAAATATTGTGTAAATGTGTAGCTAAATGGTGTAATGCTGTGTTAACTGATGAAACTATTAATCTGAATGGAACATTTTCTTTATGAATTTTAGGCAAGCCGTATGCTTTGGGAAGCAGTGAATCACTAGAACTTACAAAATAATATTCTTTTTTAGTGATCCAATCATTTTTCAACCATTGTTTTAAGTTCTTATTTAGATCTTTTTCTATTTTTACTATTGGATTGTTTTTAACTATTGTGTAATTACATTTATCTTTTAATTATTCCTCAACTTTACATACATAAAATTCTTTGGTCATCGCTACGGTCGTATTTTCCTTGTCTGCTTTTGTGAAAATAATATTCGGATTTTGTTGACAGAATTTTATAGTTTTTTTTATACATAAAAGTAAGTTTGTCATGTATCATGTTTGTTTTGGTATTATTATTTAAAAAAACAGAGAACTGTGGAATGGCAATATTCCTTATTTTCGTGAGATTAATTATGTTATTAGAATTACTTTCTATGTCCTTAATGAATTCATGGATAGCTATTTTTTTATCCGTGTTAATTGAAAGACTAAAATCACTGCCTAATTGTAATAAATTTGTGACGTCAGTTAGAATGTCTAAGTCTATCAAGTTAATGAACCATTTATCATTAGTTTGTTCTAGTGGATTGATAGTTTTATTGGTAAATTTCGTTGCGCTAATGTGGTTATTAATATACTTTTTTAAAAAAAGGTAAAAAAAGGCGACAAGTTTACGTGCTCACGTAAAAGTGTTATACAAAAAAACAGTGTTTTTAAATTACTATAAAAAACTGCTCTAAAAAATGTCATTTTAATTTTATACAATATATTTTTATTGTACAAAATGATTAAATATTTCTAAAAAAAATGATATCAAAAATTGCGACAAATAAAAACATTTATATTATAAAATCTTTTATTATGATTATTTTATTAAATATTATTTTATTAAAAATTTTTTTCATAGAAATATTTTACAAACAACAATTAATTAAACATATGACTCATATATTGTAACGCAGCAAATTATATAAAAAGATCAAATGTGACGAATAATTTATGATTGACAATAATATCTTATTTGGATTAAAGAGTATGATAGAAAATATATATCTCATTTGATTATATTGTCAACCATATAATCACTCGTTACATTTGGTCTTTAGAAATATTTTAACCAAAAAAATAGAAAAATTTTTGTTAAAAAAACTTGGCGCTGCTAAATTGCATAATATGTCAATAATGTTAAGGTACTTTGTATATACGTTTATGTTCCAGTTAATTGTTCTATTAATATTCCAGCGTCAAGTTTTTTTAACAAAAATTTTTCTATTTTTTTTGTTTAAGTTTTTTTATGGATATCATTCTTTTTTGTAGTATATATTTATCTCTCCCCTTCCTCTCTGTCATACATACATTTATATCCTGCAGTAACACAAGTTGTAGATAGATAGATAAAGAGAAAAAGAGAGCGAGAGAGAAACACAGAGAGAGAGGGGGGAGAGGGAGGGAGAGAGAGGGAGGGAGGAAGGGAGGGAGGGAAGGAGGGAGGGAGGGAGGGAGGGAGGAAAGGAGGAAAGGATGGAGGAAGGGAGAGAGGAGGGAAGAGAGAGAGAGAGGAGAGAGAGAGAGAGGTCTGATGTGCATATTGATAATTTTTACTATTTATTTTGTGAATTGTTTTTATTAAACCAAATACGAAAATAGATATTTAAAAAATTGAAATTATGTTTTTTAATGTATATATTTATTAATATAAATAACACAAATGTTACATGTAAAGTACACATTAATTGTAATTTTTCACTTATACATACATGTAACTTTTGTATTATAACATAAGTCACATTGTAGTTGTATTGTTATTACATCCCTGTATATATCACTGTAACTCATCGATAGATATTGTAGGATATTGAAAATAATCTTTGGATAAGTTATTGTGTTATCTGGAATATAATTATTATAATATAACTACAATGTAACATATGTTATATTACAAAATATTACTTTTACGAGTGGGAAATTACAGTTAATATGTACTTAATATGTAACATTTACGTTAGTTACATAGCAGTTATGTTATATAGCAGCTATATAAATAAATGTAATCCCAGCAAACACCGATATATAATTGTTACATTGCTATAATAAAACGGAATATAACAGGTAATATAACGTGTACGTTACATGTAACATTCATGTTAATTGTAATTTCCCACTTATAGATGTAACATTTTAATATAACATATATTACATTGTAGTTATATTGTAATTATATACCAAATAGCACATTGATGTATTGATAAGTCAGTGCTATCTTGGGATATAATGACAATATAACTACAATGTAATATATGTAATATTAAAAAATGTTACATCTATGAGTGGGAAATTACAACTAACATATACGTTACATGTAACATGCTTGAGTATATAACATTTATATATTGTGTTTGCTGGGATTAGACCTCTTTCTCTCTCTCTCTCTCTCTCTCTCTCTCGCTCTCTCTCCTCTCCCTCTACAAAAAGTATTCTTTTTTGAATTTTTAGCCAAATTTATATTTTCTCTTGGTCGTTTAATTACAACTAATATGTACTTAATATGTAACATGACATTGTAGGGAATAATGTAACCTACATACATGTTACATGTCATCAAACCTGACACACAACCTAACATCATATGGATCATGGAGCAACATTACTACAATCTAGTGTTGACTGCTCGAACAGTACATTTTCGCACACATGCGCATTGAGAAGGTCGACGACGATGACCAAAATTTTCAATTTTATTATAAAGTCAAATTTTACATCGTAATATCTCTGTATATATAATACGTAGAGCAAAAGTAAAGACAGTTTTCTAATACAATTTAAACCCAAGCTATCGATTAAGTCTATCGAGAATACGATCAGTTCAATCCTTCTATGAGATCTGATAATATAAGATGCTGTCAAAAGTCCGACTCGCGTAAAGATACACGGAAGTACCTCGCTACGATTTTGTGACTTGTCGCGAAACACTACCGTGTCTCTTGATTTATTGCTTTGCGGGTTTACTATATTATTCAGAGAGCAAGAGAAATCAATGGGTTTGATATTTTTATAATATTCGGATTCTTTTAAATGTAATAACCAGCAGAATTTTTTCTTGTGTGTGTAATGTAAGCTGTGAATTTGTTTTTTAAACAATCTGCTGTGGTAGTTATAAATTTCTTGCCATACATGGGGTGGGATATTATTATTTAGTCTTTGTGAATATTTCATTATGTTTTTGTTAAAATACTCTATTTGTCTGTACAAGTCAAATATCTCTATGTTTAATATTTCAAATCTAAATTTATGTAACACACTGTCAAACCTTTTTTTTGATTTATAATAATATACATTATATTGTTTTTGTCCGATAGATGT